TAAATTTTTAGACATAACTCCGTGAAAAAAGCATACGGAAAGCATTGTTAAACCAAATCTGCTGGTTCTTCGCATTCCCAACTCACCTAAAAAGCATAAAGTCAAAATTAAGAGTGAGAAATGATTTTATTGTTGCATATTAATGGTACATTTAATATTTTTGAATATTTTTTTCGCTTATAGAAAAGTACTCTACAATTTCTTATATTTTTGTTGGATTTGCTTCCAGGTCTTTCCTAAATTAGAGAACCTGTCATTAACAAGTGATGACTTAGCAGTGATATTTGATGAGCAATTTCCAAGGGACCTCTTTTGCAATGTTAAAGTTCTTCGTCTTCTTTCTTATAGAGATAAATCACCTGTGTTTTCAATTCGCTTCCTTCAATGTTTCCGCAAGCTGGAAAAGCTTTATGTATCTAGTGCTGATTTGGAGGAGTTATTCCCTTCTGAAGGAGACGCTAATGGTCAGGAGAACTGTGTGGGAACACAGTTACATATTAGAGAGTTGAATTTGAACTCACTTTATAATCTGAGGCACATATGTAACCAAGACTCAAGAGGAGCTGACCTAATTCTTCAAAATCTTAAAATTCTGAAAGTGGAGTTCTGTCGTGGCTTGATTAGCTTAACAGCATCTACGGTACCTTTCCACAATCTCACCACTTTGGATGTAAAGCATTGCAAAGGGTTAAGAAACTTGGTTTCATGCTCAACAGCTCAAAGCCTGGTTCAACTTGAAACAATGAGCATAGCAAATTGTGACTCGCTGACTGAAGTAGTTGGAGACGAAAGAGATGGCTTAGAAGATGAGATCATTTTTATGAAATTGAAAGTTTTGAAACTCATAGGGTTAGCAAAGCTCACAAGCTTCTGTTCAAGACTTAATTTCACCTTCAATTTCCCATGTTTAGAACGCTTGGTTGTGAATCACTGTCCCAACATGGAGACCTTCTGTAAGGGAGTCCTAAAGACTCCAATGCTGCAGAGAATATCACAATATAACAACGATGAGGGGCGTCTGTTGGGTGAATTGAATAGCACCATAAATCAATTGTATGAAGAAATGGTATGGATTCAACTATAAAATTAGAAATGTTTTCTATGTTGCAAGCCCTTTTATTAATCATATCATCAAATGCAAATTGAAAGTTATTAATTCTTTTTTTTAGTTGTATTTTTGTGCTATAACTAGAAATGTTTTGCATTGAAGGTTGGATATGCTGAGTTATGCCGTGTGAAACTCTCGGAGCTTCCTAAATTGATGGAAATATGGAACAAGAACCCTCAAGATAAATTGAATTTCCAAAGGATTTTTTGGCTGGAAATTTGTAACTGTGATAGCTTTAGATACCTCTTAACTCCACCCATGGTGTTGAGTCTTTCTGAACTCAAGGAATTGAGGGTACACAACTGTGAAATGATAGAGCAAATCATCACAGAAGAGGAAGAGGTACCAGAAAATAAAATGAAATTCCCTCGGCTATGGTCCCTTACCCTGACGTCTTGTCCCAACTTGACAAGTTTTATTGTGGGAAGTCATAAACTTGAGTTTCCATCATTGCGGTCTATCAACATGGATAATTGTCCAAAGATGGTATCTTTTTCAACATTTTCAATAATGCAAGAGAAAGAGACAACTATTGGAGGAAGTGAAGAAAGGCTTGATATCCCTACTGAACCATTTTTCAGTGATAAGGTCAGCTTTTTTGTGAAGAATTTTTCTTTTTACAAATTTTTTTGGATTCCTGTTGCACTTTCATTGAGTAGTTGCAACTTGGATTGTTGGTATTTTTATTATCTGCACAAATATAAATACCATATATAGAGTCTGGTGCGTATCATTTCTAATTTCAAGAAAAGATTGGAGTCCCATTTTAAATAACATCACTTCATTTAATTCAAATTTAATTCAAAATTTAAAAATTCATCTTATTAATTAATATTTTATAAGGTAAATTTCTAAATTTTAAAAAAAAGTATCAACATTTATAAGGTGTTAGGACACCAATTTTTTTTAAGAGTTCAAATATAGAGAACCAACTTGAAATGTATTAATTTGTAATAATTATCCATAATTAAGTTCAAACATTGATGGGAGAATTAATAGTTTGTTTTGGATTGAAGTATTTGGAGAGTGAGGGAAAAATGTTTCCCCCCCCTTCGTTAGATTTCTTCTTTAATGGAGGGGAATTTCTTCATTAATGGAGGGGAGGGAGATAGAGGGGTAATGGAGTCCCATTCAATCCTTTATTTTTCATCCCTCCAAATTGGAGGAATTGCAATGGATTTAGTTTGGAAAATGATTCAGAGATAATTTTTTTATATCATTTTTTATATAACCTTACATATCAATTAAATGATTTGTTCTTTTTATTTATTTAAAATTTGTGATATTATGTACAATCTATTCATTTAATGACATATGAAAGTTGTATAAAAATAATCTCTATAGCACCACTCATTTAGTTTATACATTTATTTTTTTTAAAATAAATATGCAAGAATATTTTATTTCAATTATTTTTTAAATTTGTAAATAAGCTTTTGATTACTAAGCAATTGTCAGATTTTTTTCATTATTTTCACGCATCTTGTCTTCAAATATGTTAAGTTATTAATGCAATCAAATGAACTTTTTAGGTGAGATTCCCTAGGTTATGGATCCTTATAATTCAAGGGATGAGGAGCTTGATCAGGATATGGGATGAACAACTTGATGAAGATTCCTTCCACGAACTACTTCTTCTACATGTAGAACATTGTGAAAAACTAGTGAATATTTTTCCAGTTAATATGGTAGGGAGGCTACAAAACCTAAACGAGCTGCTGATAAGGAATTGTGTTTCACTAGAAGAAATATTTGAACCTCAAGGGCATGCTGATGAATCAAAAGCACAAATACCTGCTCAATCAGCTTTAGTTGAAACAGCCCCTAATTTTGTATTTCCAAAAGTAACATCTTTGGATCTTCAGTGCCTACACAATCTCAAGAGTTTCCACACTCAAATACATACTACAGAATGGCCATCATTGAAAAAATTGAACGTGAGTGGATGTGATAAATTGCAGATACTAGCTTCAGAACAAGTGGAGAGAGCCAACTTGAAATCCAAATTGAACGCGGTTTGTTTTGGGTCAGTAAGGTATAAACATTTATGACATTTCAAATTGAATTTATTTTACTAATGTATAATTAAAAAGTAAGCAAAAAAGTGGAAAGATATGAGAATTTACTCAATAGCATTCGGGTTTTCGAACCTCAATTTTGCCAAACGAGCAGGGGATTTACTTCAGATACACATTTTATCCTTCTACGTGTGTCCTTTTTTCAATTCTTTTGTTAATTTTCAGGCTACATTCCCCAATCTAGAAGAACTGATAGTGGAGCAGAATGATGACCTGAAAGAGATATGGCATGATGATGATGATGTCAAGAATGACATTATTTTTACCAAACTGAAGTTTTTGCAAATTAAATGTCTTCCAAGACTAGCAAGCTTCTGCTTAGGGAATTGCAACTTTGAATTCTCATCTTTGGAAGATGTAATTGTGATGGGGTGTCCAAATATGATGACTTTCTCTGGGGGAGAAGTAAGTACACCTAACCTGCAAAAAGTAAAATTCACAGAAGATGAAGGTGTAGAATGTTGGGAAGGTGGCCTTAACCCCACAATACAACAGTTGTTTGTGAAAAAGGTATCCACTAATTCAAAAGATACACTTATATTTTTCATTGTTAAAGCTTTCTTTCCTTCTACTTGATTGTCCTATTGCATGCATGATCAAACAAACATGGTAGATGATAACAGTAAACTCCACTAATTATTTTTAGTTTGAAAACTTCTTCCTGCAATGTTATGCCTCAAGTGTTGATGACAACTCACTTAAGAAGACTCATGACTAAACTTATCCTTTACAAAAGCTTGGTTTAGGTTGATAGCCCTTTGTTAGTCATGTCATAAAATGCAAGCTAGAAGCTACTGTTTCCTTTTTTGTTTTTCATTTTTCCCTCTACAAATTTATTTGGATTTCTTGTGTAATAACTAACAAAGTATTGCATTTTGTAGGTTGGATATGCTATGGTAAAACATCTGAAACTCTGGCAATTTCTTGAGTTGATGGGAATAAGGAGCAAGAAACCTCAAGAAATCTTAAATTCCAGTTGGCTTTGCTTTTTAGAAATTTGTAATTGTGGTAACTTGAGATACTTGTTAACTCTTTCCATGGCATTGAGCCTTGTTTCTCTTAAAAAGATGAAAATACAAAACTGTGAACTACTAGAGCAAGTCATCTCAGAAGAAGGGGCTAACTTGAAGGGTGGCATTGTTTTCAACAAACTAAAGTCTTTGGAACTTAAAGGTTTATTGAGACTTGGAAGCTTCTGTTTGGGTAATTTCAACTTTGAATTCACATCTTTGGAAGATGTAACTGTGATGGCATGTCCATGTATGATGACTTTCTCTGGGGGGGGGGGAAGTAAGCACACCAAAACTGCATAAAGTGAAATTAACAGGAGATGATGAAGATGAAGGATGTTGGGAAGGTGGTCTTAACCCCACGATACAGCTTTTATTTACAAAAAAAGGTAGTCATTTGCTCAAAAGATTACCTTTTGTTTTTCATTTTTAATAGCTTTCTTATGATCAAATCAAAATATGGTGCAAGGTTGTGGTTAACTTCATAAATTTTAATTTTGAAGATTTTCCTGCAATTTTTGCTTCCCTCCTTTAAAATGTTCCTTATGACCTGCAGAGTGATGGTGACTCTAAAGAAAACTAAAATTTATGCTTTATAAAAGCTGGTGTTGGTTTGATCTTCAATATGGTAAGTGGATTCTCAGATTCCATCCACTTTACTTTTTTGATCTTTCCCATAAAGACACATCGCTTATACAATCTTTATATGTTTCTGATATCTTCTTACTGACAGGTCATATGGCTCTGGATTTTAGTGACTACAAGCTGCAAATTTTCTTGGCATCTTTAATATTATTTAGATTTCTAAAACTAGTTTTCAGAGTTTTTGAACTCCTTGTGTGACTTTGTCTTGTTAGTATTTAATTTCATGTCCTAATTTGGTATTGTGGTGTTAAGATAATATTTAAACCTTGTATTATCAGAACATATGTATCTTAATACAGAAAACGTGGTGTGTCTAAACTTTGGTATTGTAGCCTCTAGACATTTTTTTTCCTTTTGCTGGCTTGGTTTTGAACATGATGTTGCTACAAGATTTCATATGAATCGGGCACCTTGTCTTATGCACCTTAGTTAGACCCACTAGGGCCAGTCAAAGTTGAATTCATTGTGTTCACATGGCCTTTTTTGTACGTATTCATCTATAAAACACTATTTTTTTCTCTCCAGATTGATTGAATGATAGAATTTTTATAAATTTTAAAAA